GACATAGTGGAGTAAACTCAAGTCAGAAACAAGACGACTACCCCTAAAATGAGAAAATAATAGAGATCAACAGGAAGCAGCTCAGTCTGTGAAACAAGCACACCACAATAGCCACACCACTAGAAGGCAGCCACAAGGATGCTACCTCAAACAGCTAGCATAGAAATATTACACTGGAATGCCAAATATTTCACGTTTCAGTAATAAAATGACGTGTTCAGTATCATAAAACTGTTCCTGCTCAAAGCAGCCAACAAACTCCACACACAGAAAATACAAATTAAACGCTGACATCAGAGAAACATTCTGTTTTGTAGTAAGAACAAAAAGCAAACAATCACTTTGTTGTAAGGAACAAAATGTTGACCTCTGCAAATTTTGGAAGGCTTCAAGAAACAACATAACTGTGGGAAAAAATGTGCAGGGCAGCAGAATTAAGTGGTATCTGGCCTCTAAAGGCTGACTCCCATGAGCCTACGCAGCATCACTCCCCTCTTGACTCCTCACACCTCCCGTGCCACTTCCACACGCCTCACAAAACAAGCAGCCCTGTAGAAAAGTAAGTTTCAGACTGATACATATACTACAATTTATCCCAAATCTCTACCATTTCTGAGTCACTGGAAAAATAATTGCTGAGCTGGATTGGCTGAGCATATTTCAGACAATTAAAAAATAATGATAATAATTTTTAAAAAGTTCAGGGAGGGAGCTCAACAGAATGAGTCAAAATTCGTCAGTGACATACTAAGTGTATTTTATGAATGTATTTGAAGTTTTCCATGCGTCCTCTAGGTCACACATCTTAACCGCACAAACTGCTCCCTGGAACCTTCAAATAATCAACGTTGTGTTTCTTTCTACTTGCTAACCACATTGCCCATGAGCCACATTTTACTGTGTAAAGTTCAAGACAAACTCTCACAGGCTTTTGTTACTGATATTGACAGAAAAGAACTTTTGAAAAAAGAGTAATGCAAATTCTGTAAATGAAAAGTTTAAGAGTTGCAAAAAGAATATCATAAACAATCATAGCTTTTTAACGAGACTTTTCTTGGTCAAATGTACCGCAGATGTTTCCAGACATGACTAAACTCCAAGACTGCCATTTCCAATTAACACTTGCATGTTGACCAATGAGCCCTTCCCCACAAAGCCACTCAGCATGAGACTACTGCAGAATCTGATGGTCTTTAGTAGAATATTTGGCTCAAATCCAGCTCCACCAGCCTTCATGCTTATTTTTACAGGCACAGACTCCAGCTTTGCACTCTGGTATGCAACATAACACCCAAGTCCATTAAACTTTCCATCAAATGCACATAAAATTGAACAACAGGTAATCAAGCTGGAGTTTGTTCTCTGTTTGCTCCATGGCATGAAATGCAGTTAATTTTCTTGAAGGGCTTACAGTGACCATGTCCAGGACGGTACAAGGCAAGCATCAGGGGATCCAGATCTGAATGCTCTTGCAAGGGGAGCTCTTACGAAAAAGATCTTGAATTTCAAAGGGGTAAATGGCACTGGCACTAGTATTTCCAACATCAGGCATTCAGCGTCAAACATAACAACTGTGAAAGAGACTAGAAAAGACAAAAATTGTATTCTCTTCCAGTGGAATGAGCCCATTTATCTTGTCATCTTTGGCTACAGGGAGAGATTTGGCACTCTTCACTGATGGCTCAACCTGACTCTCACATTCACCCATTGAGACTGGCTAACACGGTTATGCAATCTCTGGCCACCTGAAGAGCAATTTCAAAGCTATTCATGTTACAGGCCTCATTCCTTGCAATGAACCCTTTTGAGGGTTGTAACTGCAATTCTGTTTTAAAACCAGCATATGTAGCACAGACACAGCCATCAGCCTGCAGAAAACTGCTTAGAAGCTGGTTTTGAGTAAGCCCTGGTTTACTGCTGTGGAAGCATTTCTATCCATTCATATGGCTTCAGTTTGACTTAGTTTTTTTAAAATTGGACTCAATTTTTGGTAATGCCTACAATGGAGCACTGACATGAGGGGTGAACGTAACCCCACAGCTGAGCCGTGAAAGGACAAATCCATTCCTACTGCCCTCTGAAAGGAACCTGCGAGGTCAACATGTGTACCTTCTTAGAGCTGAAGAAATCCGCAGCTTTGTCAGGCACCAACAGTAGCTCTTTAATAGTCCAATTTGGTTTCCCCAGGACAGCATGCAAACTACGGATTTTACTCAGTAAAGCAAATATTACTTCCAGATGTAACAAAGGTTTCATTGTGCTCATCTGAGTCTAAAAGCAAAAATGCAAAGTGTAGTTTTCATGAGTGAGGTTTGGGGAAAAGAGAGTGGGTGGCAATAAGAAGTGAGAGAAGAGTGTGTACTTGAAAATTAACGTGTGATTGTTACTGTGAGCACTGTTCCAACTGCCACTCTTTTAAAAGTTTTCTAAAATATGCAACAGTGGTATGAAATTTGCAGGGCAGCAGAACTCAACTGATACAGAAAGGATATTATTCCCTGAGCGACCAGGTAAATAAAACCATGCAGCACCACAAAGTTAGTAACAGCATGGGGCTCAGACATAAATATCTATTCTTTCCACCACTGATGTAGTGAATGTTTTAATACTTGCAAAGATGTGCAGCAGTTCCCCTTCATAGCATTGATTCACAAACAGTACTTGTAAAACCTTAAAAAAATAATCTATCAAAGAAGCCTGGAGATAAAAAGGGTACACGATAGTGCAACAAACTCAAGGGAATGATTCAGAAGAAAAACCCGAAACACTCAACAAAAAAGAAACACCAACACAAAAAAATCCTTTGGTTTTGGCAGCAGTTCACACTTCTCAACATTACATGTTTAAGTATTAGGTTTTCCCACCTGCAAGGCAAAGGATCCTACATTGCTAGAGAAAAGTGACACCTTGTATCACCTGCCAAATCACATAATACAGCTAATTACATTGCACCTCAGTGCCAGGCCCAGCTGAATCAGAAACTGGGGGAAACACATGCTTCTCTGTCACTGTGTCAAAGAACTGTATGTTTGAACATGCTTGTCAGCTAGCATGTAATAGCAGATAAAATTAAAACGGATTACCCATTTGTCAAACTGATTTCTTTCAAGAAAAAGCCATCCAGTCTAAATTAAGCAGAAATATGTAATTAAGTACTTTTCAAGCCATAGTAGTTTACATAAAGAAAATAATCTTTAGAAATCCACTCCCATAGGATTTATAGCAATCCTTCTTAAGAGGCTGCATAGTCTAGGGTACCCTCACAGAATAGGTTTCTATCTTTAATACTTTAAATAAAACTCTCAAATATGACCCAAAGATCAGGCAAGGTAGCTCTGTCTTCTTCAATCTCTAAGCAAATAGTTCTTTTTCTTTCTCTTCTCCTTCATATCTTCTTGAGCTAAAGTAGAAAAAGATTATTTAGTATCACCCACTTTTACTGTAGGTGTTATGAATATAGAGTTAACCCTAAAACTGGTGTGAAACAGGTTAATTATACAAACCACTAACTGAAAAAACTTCTGAATCCCAGCAGAGGCAGCCACTGCTACTGTTGAGTATGGGGAACTTGCCAGAAGCAGGATGAAAAAGCAACAAAGAGAAGTCTGATATCTACCTGCCCGTATCAACCTCTAAGGATTATCAAGAGGGAACAGACTACATCTTCAAGAAACAAGGAAAATTCAAGACACAATTTTTTGGAAATGTAATTTCTCGAAAGTATCAGGCAGATATTTTTTTTTAACTCTCAAATGCGGATCATTTTGTTTTCTTCTCCAGTAGGTTTTAATGGATACTAAGAGTTCTTGTCTTACTGTAATTTTCTGATTAATTTGTCAGTCCAAACTTAAGGAGCAAGTAGGTAGTGGCAACACAATAGCTGGTTCAACTGTATATTGACAAGTAAATGCCTACAGAAAAGGGAACAGGCACAGTTGAGTAGGAAAATTACTCCAGAAAAAAGAAGTGGCAGACAATGAATAGCAGAGGTGCAAAAGCACAGGCTACAACTGAGGGATAGAAGCAGCAAACAAAAATAATACAGATCCTCCCATACTGGAGGATGGGGAAAGTATAATGAAACCATGAAGGTTCAAATGCTTAGCAAGAAGGAAAAACAGTCACGCTAAAAATTAAAAGGGGGGAAGGCTAAGTTATGATTAAGTACAGAAGACATCTATTTGATTGCAATAAGCTGCAGACACAATTGCTGGGGATCATAGCTCTACTTTGGCTTAAATAGTTCAGCTTTACTCTTAAAAGGCCTATCTTTCACCAGCGGTCTTGGAAAGTCTCTACAAATCGTTAAGTTCACACAGTCTCAGCAGTACAACAGATACAATACTGCACACATTTTAACAGAAAGTGGAACAAAGAGATGAAGCAGGAAATTAAAAACTTAACTGGAATCACAACTTGCCTCTTCATTCCCGGTCTGTGTCAACTGTCACTTCACAATATCTCTCATATTAAGATTAATATTCCTGAAGATTTTTATTATTTCCACATATATCCAAGCTCACTGTTTCTAGTTTAAAATCCAACCATTCTAATAAACAAAACTTTTTTGCAAATTAAAGATAGCAGACAACATTTAAGGTAGCCCTAACATATTCCAAGCACATGCGGTTTGCACATCAACCTGCTTTAACATCCTGGAAGTGCCTTCCCTGGAAGTGAATTATTTGTAATTGCAACGTCCTCTCACAACAGGAGCATCAAAGTTATCGTCATCATCAGCTCTGGAAATGCTTTTTATGTAAATCATAAGTCCATCACATTGCGCAACAGGGAAAAAGGAAAAAATATCCCAGACAGAAAAGATCAAATGCAAACAATGCAGTACAGGAAAGATTACAGCACAAGTAAGGTTTAAAATATCCCCAATACAATAGATTATGTTCAGGCATTCAATCTATGTATATCCTTATAAACAAACACATATTTGAAGAATGACAACATAGATCCTCATAGGATATTATTTGTTAACATATACTCACATATACTTCATCGTGATCAAAGCGCTTTTTCAGATTATTGATGAACGAATCTTCATTAAGCGGCTCTAAAAGAACCATATCTCCCACACCTATCATGTCATCTAAAAGTGAAGTCTTGACCTCCATTTTGGCCATTTTCTCCTGCAAAGAAGGAAATGAGAAAAAAAAAGAGTAAATTTAGCTCACAATTATTCTAAATATTCACAGGTATTATCCAGGAACACTATTTCAGGAACACAAGTTAAACATTCATCAAATGACACTGCATTAAAATATTTTTTCCAAGGAACATTCCCAAAGTCATTCTAGCTACTCGGGTAGTCCACACAATTCCCTAAAATTTACTGCTAACTGTAAACAATGCCTCTGTTGCACTATACACTAAATATGACACTGCAAGAAAAAGGAATTAAGATTTCAGTGGGCACCAGATTTTTTTGAACAATTTCCACACAGTGTTCAAGTGTACACAAACCCGGGTTTCATCAAAAGCTTCATCAATATCTCCAGTGTATCAAATTAGGGTTTGAATTTGTCCATACCCTAATCTGAATTTCTTTCTCACCCTTACTTGCATTTCTCCAACTCCACCAACTTTTAAATGGAAACCAACTAAGTGAACTCATGCAGAAACAACACCCACATATTCCAGTACAGTACTGCTCTTGGTTACATGTGCCTACCAAATTACTCCATTCCCTAACCAGACTTATTTAGATTTATTTGTAATTCTGTTGCCTGAGAGCACTTTCTTTGGGCAGCAATAATCCAGCAGACAAGTGGAGAATTTGCATCTATATAACTGGAGTGGCAGCAAAAGGCAGCAGCTGAGCTTAAACAAGGGATCAGGATCAAACAAAGTAACCAAGTCTGATAAAGGAAGTAATTCAGACAAAAAAGTCAAGGTCAGGCCAAAACTCAACACCGATTTGATCCTCCCAGCCTTTTATCCTTCCAATCCAATCCCTACAGAAGATTAACCGAGCTCCTCAAGAGCTCCAGGCACACAGTTACTGCTTTCAGCTTTCATGACAAGACTGAGAAATGAACATATTAACAGTGGCAGCCAGCAAATGGGGAACCAGAGGCGAGAGAACAACTTTGCGGACAACATAAACCAAGACCCAACTACTGCACAGCTACAGCTACAAAAAAAAACCCACCATTGAAGTTCACCAGTCAGCTGTAACCTCTCAGTTATGAAATGCTATCAAGCTGTCCTTGCTAACCTTATCACTATAGCATATTTTAATTCTAAATGTTTTATCTCGGTTCTCAAAATACTTTTGAACAGTTATTAGCTTATACAATTAGTGTTGACTTGCCACAGTAGCTATCCATCAGATAGCTAATTTAAAACAAGCAAAGCCTTTTATCTCTTGCTACTGTCCACAGCCACTGCATTACGACAAACCATTTGATTTTTGAGCAGTGAGTGACATTTGAGGGATATTAAATCAAGACTTAAGTCGCGTTTGATGTTTTTCCAAATTCAATGAAGAGGAGCGCGGCTCCACAGGCAGCTAACAGAAGTAATACAACAAGATCCCCAAATCCTGAACCAAGCCTGGGAATTACTAGAAATTCACATGGAAGTGCTGAGCTACCGTAACCAACCAAAGCTGAGTCAACTCTGCTAAACAAACAAAAGAGCATTTATTTTAAACAGAAACACTGGACAAATATTTTTGTAGAGAAAGATACTTTTATTCTTAAAAGTTCACCTCTCTAAATCACACCAAAAAAATTAAAGATTCACAAAAATCTTTCCAGAGATATCACTTCAACTTCTGCATCCCATTAAGACTAATTTTTTAAACTACCAGTCTTATTTCAACGACCTAATTACCTCCCATACATCAAACAACACTCAAATAATTTTTGAAGGCTGAAAACAAAAAGTTCTTCTCAAGTATGGATCTTATTAAATTTTGAGTTTGGAGCCAAAAGAAAAAGCCAACATAAAAATCCTAATATGGGCAATTTTAACCTAAAATTTAAGTCCTACGTCGTGTACCTCATCTACCATTGTGAAATTCCATACCACCTACCACACTTCATGCATCACTGCTTGGGAATTTCAAGACCAAGAACAGCCAAACCCATGAAGAACATTCGTGTATTCCCAAACTCAGAGGCACATTTTGCAGAAGAGGTGCACAAAGACAGCATATTTACTATTCAAAGCTGGATCAAACAGTTGTGTACAAATACCAATTTATCAGCATATTTGAAAAGTTCAGTCTTATGGTCAAAGGTTAATTTTCAGCTTGTTTTTTCCACAATAATTTAACATCACAGTATTGTTAAAATATTTCCATTAACTTGAGAGCTAGAAAGTATTAGAAATATAGGTTATGAAAAAATTGGACAATACGCCTGGACATCCTGTTTAACACTGAATTCTCAAAATCATTTACAACAGTTTAGCCTTTGCAAAATAGTCATTATAGATTACCTCATATACTCATGTATGATTCAGGAGTATTCTGCCATACCAGTGTTGTTAGCCTCCACTTGGGTGTAATCAAATCGTAAACCCTGCTCTGGCTTAGCTAACTACAAAGGAAAATCTGGCAAGCTTGTGGAATAATTTGGTTGCCTATCTGAGGTAACAAGTGGGGGAAAAAAGCACTGTTAAGAAAAGTCAACAATGTTTAAACATACAATAAACAATTTAATTTCATAAATAATTGAATTTAATAGAAGATCAATATATGCAGCACTAAATACTAAATACTAATTTTTAAAGTAGGTTATTAGAAAAAAAAGACCAAATACCAGCATACTACACAGAAAAAAAAAACCAGTCAAGCCCTTGCTACACTGCAAAACGAAACTTCAGTCAAGATTTTTTAGCAATACGTCACTAAGCTCAGAAACTCAATCCAAAGCCATGTCCGAGCATTTGTATTTGCCATATATTCCAAGGTGTCTTGCAGCTGGAAACCTTTTCCCATTGGTGCTGGTGACATTGTGCTCACCACGATTTGGAGAATAGTACATAAAAGTAAGCAGCTTCTACCTATATATGTAATCACACATTTCTAAAAGGATGAGTGTTTCTCAAGATCCATTTCCAAGAACCAGAGCTATGAGAAGGACGGGACCAAAACACCCTCCCAGTGGCTGAGAGATCAGTAATGATCGAAACCACAGCTGTGCTGGCAAACAGGGAATTAGGTTTGAGGAAGGAACCAGAATGGGTTGCATCCTTTAAAACAAGGACACCTTTAGTTATTTTCAAATGAAGATTGCTGAATGGGAGATGATGTATGGAGGCACTGAAGCGAAGCTCTATTTCAAATTGGAAATTCAATTAAAAGTAACCTGAAAATGTAAGTGGTACTCCCTCAATTTAGCTAATACATTGCTTTTGCAACTTCAACATCTCATTCTGTTGACATTAAGAAAGATGATGGTATTGCATGAAGATTACAGCTGCAAATTATTAAAATTTTAATATAGCAACAAATTAGGTCAGCAAAAACCCCCAAATTTTTCTAACACTTGCAGTCTGCGAATCAGATTTTTCCTCAAACATTCCCTGATCTCTTCCATACTCAAGTACCACTTAAATCTTCTCGCAAATTTACATTTGTTATCCCTAAACAAACACCAACAACATTTCAGAGCATCTCCCTTTTCTCTAGTCATTTGTCATATCTGCTGCTTCTCACTTTGGTCACATATCTAGGCCTCAGTTCAATGGAGTGAGAACACTTCTAACACGTTTCAATTCACAGAAGACAAGACTATTCAGTAATCCTTCACAGCTTGATCTGTTTTATGTTGGACATCATGGTTGAGAAGGAGAAGAAGGGCTGGGGGGCATACTACATCTGTAAAATGCTTCCATCTACACGCTCTCAGATTACACATCAACTTTTAAAACACAGGCTGCTGTATAGATACCACTTGCAATGCCTGGGATGGCCATCCAGCTAGGCCAGCTGAATCTAAAACCTTCTTGTCCCTTCTGACCGCAAGGATGGAAAATTGAAAATGAAGCTCTTCCACAGCCATAGCAGTCCTAACAGTAGCCAATCTGAAACGAGAGCTAACGAAAGCTACAACTAGATGATGCAGAGAATAGGCAAAACCCTCAAAGCCTTGTACAATTAAGTTCACACATTCTCTAAGGAGGAGATGAAATAACACCCCATTATGGGCCTACAGCATGATATGGAATTGTCCAAGGTTTTCCGCATCACTCTCATACAGTAAAACATCAAAAACTGTCAGCAGCTTCCTACAGATGTGCAGTCCTTAGCACATGTTTGCACTTGCTGCACTGGAATTATCAGTGGCTGCAGAGGTGGCTTGTTTTCCTTCTTTTGTGGTATTGTAGCAAAAGGACAACTTCCCTACTTCCAAAATTGACACAATAGATGTACTCACATACGCTTCAATCTCCAAGTATTAAAAAAACCAAAGAAAGCCTTTGGTTTCATTAGCACCAACTCACTGTAGAAAATAACCACCTTTTTATTTTATAGAGTTATCAGGGACAATTTGCAACGTCAATAATTCAATAGCAGAGTTCAAACTTATTCTGTGTTCCAGGTTTGATCCTGAGCCCCCATCAGGCTGTAATTACACTTGCCCACTCATTCCCTTTCTTCCCTGTCAGGGAGCAATCAGCTCACACAGAGCAGGGACACTGTCAGGCCACTGCTGCAAAAAGCAGCTACAGACACAATGTCATTACCTGAACAGAACAAAACGGACTATAGGGATCTTGTACTACTCACAACAAAAGTACCAATTTAGAAAGACATAGGATTTAAATTCATCCTGTTCTCCTGCCCAACAAACCCTACATATCACTGGCTTCTGACCAATGTCCAGAAGGCACAAGTTCACCAGGTAAACTGAGGCAGACTCTGCAGCAGAACTATTATTCACTTCACTGTAACCATTATTCACCTTTCCCGACATCAGCATGTATGAAAAAATGTTGTTATCTTGCAAAGAAAATCTTTGCTTTCCCTTCAGACCCCGTAACCTTTTAGCCTCTGGATATTACAGGGGAGCAGTGCACCCAGCATTTCCTATCTGCTGCCTGGCCGCTGTCTGCTAGGAACAGCTGCACCCTCCTGCCCAGCTGTGACTGCTCGCAGATGCTGTTCTGTCA